CAAACCATTTTCAGATCAAAAGAAGCAATCGACATTGGCAATCAATCACTCGCCCCTCTTCACATTTTTCAGACCTTACTTTTTAAAAAAGCCCCAATCTACCTTTTCCAGTAACCCCATTTTGTCATCTCCCTTCCGATGCTTCCCAAAATATAGCATTCATTTACAAAAACAAACCTCCCCAGTTGCTGCTTCCTTCGAAACCGCTTCTGGGTCTTCTTCCAATTCCAGAAATGGCTACTAAAGACTCGAGTTCTGCGAGTGAGGGCAAGATTAAAGGGGTTCTCACCCATGGCGGCCGATATGTGCAGTATAACGTCTACGGTAACTTGTTTGAGGTTTCGGCTAAGTATGTTCCTCCTTTGCGACCCATTGGTAGAGGCGCTTATGGTCTTGTTTGGTAAGATCTTTATGCCTGATCATGGGGTTTTCTCTGTTTTTGATGATTTTTTGATCTTTAAATTGCCCTTCTCCTCTTCTTTTACCTGTTTTCTGAAAAGCATGTGGAAGTTTCAGCGGTCCTCCTCCTGATCTGCTTTGCAGTTTCATGATAATATGCTTGTTTGAATTAGGAATTTGTCTGTAGGGGGTTTTCAGAGATTGAATCACCCAGTGTTGTATGGAGTAAAATGATTTGTAGTGGCTCATTTTGATGCAGTTTGTAATGATTTGAGCATGGTTGGCTAGGTTGAAAACTAGTGATTTCATCAAACTTGAGTTCAATTAAGGCTAACCCTTTGCCCCCAAGATGGCCCCATTGGCTAAGGCCCTGTGGTCTCTGAGTAATACCTATCCAGAGGTTGAGTGTTTGAGTCTTGGAATGAGCTTAATGAGGAAAACCCTTGGTGCCTCCAGAGCTTGTTGTTTTGTCTCAATCACTTACTGCTATTTGTAAATGTTTGGCCATTCACTTGAAGTTCTAAGTATTCTTCAGTAGTATTGCAGTGAGTTCCATACATAGTTTCTTTCTCTGCAGTGCTGCTGTAAATTCTGAGACACATGAGGAGGTTGCTATCAAGAAAATTGGAAATGCATTTGATAACATAATCGATGCTAAGAGGACATTGAGAGAAATTAAGCTTCTTTGCCACATGGAACATGAAAATGTATGGTTTGTTTCTAATAACTTATAATCTTCATTCTTTATTTTAAATTCCGTGCTTTCTTATTGTAACAATCTAAGCCCACCACATGTAGATATTGTTCTCTTAGGGCTTTCACCTTCGGATTTCCCCTCAAGGTTTTTAAAACCTATATTCTAGAGAAAGTTTTCCACACCCTTATAAATAATGTTTCGTTTCCCTCTCCAACCGAGATCTCACAATCCACCCCCCATCAAGACCAGCGTCTTCGCTAGCACACCCCCAGTGTCCACCCTCCTTCGGTTGGAGAGGGGTACGAAACATTCCTTATAAGGGTGTAGAAACCTCTCCCTAGTAGACGCATTTCAAAACTTTGAGGGGAAGCCCAAAAGGGAAAACCCAAAGAAAACAATATCTGCTAGGGGTGGCTTGGGCCGGTTACAAATGATATTAAAAGTCAGTCATTGGACAGTGTGCTAGCGAGGACGTTGGGCCCCCAAGTGGGGTGGATTGTGAGATCTCACATCGGTTGGAGAGGGGAACGAAACATTCCTTATAAGGGTGTAGAAATCTCTCCCTATCAAACGCGTTTTAAAACCTTGAGGGGAAGCCCAGAAAGGAAAACCCAAAAAGAACAATATCTGCTAGCGGTGGGCTTCGGCTATTACAAATGGTATTAGAGCTAGTCACCGGGCAGTGTGCAAACGAGGTCGTTGGGCACCCAAGGGGTGTGGATTGTGAGATCCCACAACGGTAGGAGAGGAGAATGAAACATTCTTTACAAGAGTGTAGAAACCTCTCCCGAACAAACGTGTTTTAAAACCTTGTGGGGAAGCTCGGAAGGGAAAGCCCGAAAAATACAATAACGGCTAGCGGTGAGCTTGGACTGTTAAGAGAGAGAGAGAGAGACGAGTATTGGTTTATCTGTTTCATCCTCTATAACTGCGCAATTTCTAACTCTTCACAGATTATCGCCATCAGAGACATCATTCGACCCCCAAAAAGAGAGGTCTTTAATGATGTGTACATTGTTTACGAGTTGATGGATACCGATCTTCATCAAATAATTCGCTCTGACCAATCGCTGACAGATGACCATTGCCAGGTTTGATGCTGCAATTTTGTTTCATTTCCTGTTCTATTCCCACAGATCATTTTTACAAAAGAGTAGTTCAACACACTCATAGTTGTTCTATACTTCTTGGGGTCTAAACATTTAAACTTCAATCATTCTTCCCTTGATTTTAGTGGGTTCGAGCCATACTCACTGAGAAAAGAAGTAAAAAAATGTAAAGTTCGAAGCTTGTTATCATAGTTGACTCAAGAAAAGTTTTCCCCTGATGAACTGGTGATTATACTTTCAATATGAAACTGCTTGACCATTCTGTAATTGATGTCAATGAATGAATTTCTGTTGGGGTTTCATTCAGTGTGAGGTTTTCATGATTGATTCACGTCGGGTTTTGTTCATTAGTATATGTTACTAAATCGATCCATTTTCTCAAGCTAGCTCGGACACTGATTACCTACATATAATTTAATATTCTACGAGTTATCTTGTCACTATACTGACATGTTACGCGTTAGCAGTACTTTATGTATCAGTTATTGCGCGGGCTGAAATATGTACATTCAGCCAAGGTCCTGCACCGTGATCTGAAGCCAAGCAACCTGCTACTGAATGCAAACTGCGACCTTAAAATTGGAGACTTTGGGTTGGCAAGGACAACGTCTGAAACTGACTTCATGACTGAATATGTGGTCACTCGCTGGTACCGAGCGCCAGAATTGTTGCTCAATTGTTCGGAGTACACTGCCGCCATTGATGTCTGGTCTGTTGGATGCATACTTGGTGAGATCATGACCCGAGAGCCTCTCTTCCCTGGAAAAGATTATGTTCATCAACTAAGACTTATAACTGAGGTACAACTTTCAAATCTGCATTCAATTTGTCTGTTCCATGGCCTTAATAACATACATTGTTTCTATGTAATAGCTACTTGGATCACCAGATGATGCCAGTCTAGGATTTCTTCGAAGCGACAACGCTCGAAGATATGTCAAGCAGCTTCCTGAATACAAGAAACAACAATTCTCAACTAGATTTCCCAACATGTCTCCAGCTGCATTGGATCTTCTAGAAAAGATGCTCGTGTTTGATCCAAACAAACGCATCACAGGTGAGTAAAAACCGTTCATATTTTAACCGAAAAACGATGTTTTGATCGGTTGGTATCTGATGTTCCATTTTGTAGTTGAGGAGGCACTCTGTCATCCATACTTGCAATCTCTTCACGACATCAACGACGAGCCAGTGTGTGGCAGACCTTTCAATTTTGATTTCGAGCAACCATCGTGCACTGAAGAGCATATCAAAGAACTGATCTGGAAAGAATGTGTCCGGTTCAATCCTGATGAATCAGCGAGGAGGACGACCCTTTGCGTTTAAGGCGACGTAGATGGTGGAAATTGAAGGAACACGTTGTTTTATTGTTCCTGAATAGGAAGGATTTAATGTGATGATGAAGTAGATAAGAACAGGTGTAAAACTTGTATGCTTTTTACCCATATAAATTGGAGTCCTGTATTGTACAAGGAGTTGATTGATGCTGATTCCTGTGAGTGATGGAATTTAACTAAGAAGAACACACCAAAAAAAGATGCAAAATGGGGCTCTGTATTAAGTTCTTTTCTGATTCGAAGCTCGTCGACGTTCATGGCGACTGAGATCTCAGCCGTTGCAACCACAGCGTTGTACCTGTTTAATTTCATGGAAACTATTGAGGATTGGGTTTATAAGTACGTAATACATAGCCATACGGGCTTATACTCAAAGTCAAGTATGAACTCATGTCATTGTCTTTACAACGTGTTGCTGCTATCCATCATGTACTTCTTACATGTCGTCTATATTAATGACCTTTTAAATCATAAATATTCTCTAAGACGAAGGGCATCTCGTGACACATTGGCAATCCCACATCCCAATGCAGGCACCTAGGTGGTTCCCTTAATTTATGGTCAATTTTGATACAATCAAATTGAAGATTTCAATTTATAATACTTTATGTTACCTAAATTTAATTAAGATATGTATTAATATTTAATTCAAAAGTAACGTTTAATTAATGTATTTGAGTGAATTAACGTGGGACGTGGAGTAACATAAGTGGCAAACATCGTACTTTGTCGCTACGGGAATCTCCAGATATAAATTTCCATTTTTAAAAAAAAATTAATTTACTCTCAAACCAAATAAATTGAATTGTGATAAAAGAAAAAGTGGTTTAAATTTGATAAATTAATTAATTGATGAGAAATGATTAGCATACATCAAAAAACTTTTTTATTAATTAATTAAACTCCAAACTTCTATTTATTAAAATAATAATTCATAGCTACTGGAAGCATAATCATTAATTCCATGCCATGAGAGACTCTTGCGTGAAGCTTAAATCATCCATCCATTAATGAAGTTATTTATTTTTTCATATTATTTTTTAAGAAACATTTCAATTAATTTGGTCCATAATTAGGGTTGCAATTAAATGATATGAATTTAAACCCAAACTATGAGAAGCAATTTAGATGTCTTCATTAATAAAAAGCAATTTAATTTTCTTTATGCAATGTATTCTGTAGAAATTTTTTTTTTTAAGATTCAGGAATAATATTTTATTTTTGCTTTAAAATTTTAATTAGATTAAATACATTCATTTTAATTACAATTAAATTCTCAACAAATCCATTCTAATTAAATATTCTTTAAAAAGTTCTAAAAAATTAAAAGGCGATTTTTTAAAAGAAAGAGCCCAATGGAGGGAGTTGAACCAACCGGGTCCAACCAAAATAAACCCACAAAATTATCGTCTACGACGCGCGCAGCATAGATCCCCATCGTCTCTCTCATCTCAGCCGTCAAAACCCTAAAAGGGAAAAAGTTTTGTGAATGAATATGATCTTCCTGATCGCTTCGCCTCCTCCCTCTGTCACTCCCACTCTCTCCTTCCAGTCCTCCTGCCCACAACGATCGCTTCGTTTCGAATCCGCATTGTTGAACGCGTCCGATTTCGAAGGATTCCTTCTTCAATTTCTTCTTCTTCTTCTTCTTCCTCAGATTTTTAGTCTCGGAGGAATTGGAGAATGAAAGATTCAGAGAAAGTGTTTTGGGATCAGATGAAAAATCCGACTGGAAATCCACACATTGCCGCCATCAATTCTCCCTCCAAAATCTCCTCTAAGCTTCTTCTCTGTCTCATCTTCTTCGTCTCTTTCACTTACCTCATTTACTCTCTCAAACTCCTTTCCTCTTCCCGCCCCTGCCCCGACCTACACCCATTTTCCTCTCATCGAATCTCCAATCTCTCCGCTCTCGCTGGAATCTCTCTTCCTCTTTCCCTTCATCTTCCTCCGCCCCTCAGTAATCAGACGGAGCTCCGGCATGTAGTGTTCGGAATTGCCGCATCAGCTAAGCTCTGGGAGCAGCGGAAGGATTACATCAAGCTCTGGTTCAAACCGGAGGAAATGAGGGGGACGGTCTGGTTGGACCGTAAGGTGAAAACCGACAACGATTCCGACGATCTTCCGCCCATTAGGATCTCCGGCGATACGTCGAAGTTCGCATACAAGAACCGGCAGGGGCACCGGTCGGCGATTCGAATCTCGCGAATCGTGTCGGAGACGTTTCGTTTGGGGTTGAAGGATGTGAGGTGGTTTGTGATGGGCGATGACGACACCGTTTTCGTGACGGAGAATTTGATTAGGGTTTTGAGAAAGTACGACCATAACCAGTTGTATTACATTGGGAGCTTATCAGAGAGCCATTTGCAGAACATTTATTTCTCGTATTCCATGGCGTACGGCGGCGGCGGGTTTGCCATTAGCTACCCGTTAGCAAAAGCTTTGGTCAGAATGCAGGATCGCTGTATTCAGAGATATCCCGGATTGTACGGTTCCGATGACCGGATGCAGGCCTGCATGGCGGAGCTAGGTGTTCCCCTCACCAAACACCTGGGTTTCCACCAGGTACGTCTAGTTAAAAATTGTGTATATTATTCTGCATCGTGTTCTGACTTGTCGGTGGCGATTTGAAGTGGGTTTTGCTTTTGGGTTTCATTTTCTTCACCTGCAAATCTGCCGACTGCTTGGGGTGGCTTTTGAGGGTAAATTATTGCTTTGGATGGGCCGAGTTATGGCCGAGTGGTCAGTGAGTCACTGCCGAGTTGCTTATTCTTTTAGGGGTTTGATATAATTCTGACATCGTGCATCTTTTAATATGCTGGACAAGTTCGAGGCATTGGGAGTTGGGGAAATTTTGAATAATTTAAATATATTTATCTGAAAACTATATATTATAATTTGAACTCAAGATTTGGGTCTAAATCTAGGATGAACAATAAGTGAGAATGAGTGTTATATAAGCATTAAAAAGAAAACTCAGAAGTCCACTGAAGATCTGCCATTTTTTTTTTGTCTATACTTAGGCTCCTTGCTGAGGAATGGGACCCATTTTTTACTTTCCTCTGTGTTTGATTATTGGCAATGTTACTGAATGAATCTATTGTTTCATCAATTAGTACGATGTGTATGGCAATCTATTCGGCCTGCTTGCAGCTCACCCGATCATGCCCTTCGTATCAATTCACCACCTCGACGTAGTTGAACCAATCTTCCCCAATGTCACCCGCCTCCAGGCCCTCCAACGTCTCAAAATTCCAATGCAGGTCGACTCTGCAGGTCTAATGCAGCAATCCATCTGCTACCACAAGTCCAACACCTGGACCATCTCCATCTCGTGGGGCTTTGCCATCCAGATCTTCCGTGGCATCCTATCGCCCCGTGAAGTCGAAATGCCAGCTAGAACATTCCTTAATTGGTACCGCCGGGCTGATTACACAGCTTACGCATTCAACACCCGACCAGTCAGCCGAAACCCCTGCCAGAAGGCATTTGTGTTTTACTTGTCTGATGCCCAATTGAACTCGACGACAGGGCAGACGATCAGCAAGTACGCTCGACACCGGGTGCCTCAGCCAACGTGCAAGTGGAAGAGTCCAAGCCCAGCCAGCATTGACACGGTCAAGGTGATCAAGAAACAAGACCCCAACTTGTGGGACAGAGTAAGTAGTTGGATTCATTTTGATAGTAAAACTGAAATAATTTTGATTGATCTTGATTGTGTGCTTTTGTGTAATAATCAGTCTCCAAGGAGAAACTGTTGCAGAGTGATGAGATCAAGGGAGAAGAAGACGATGATGGTGGAAGTTGGGATATGCAGAGAAGGTGAAATCATTGAAGTAAAATAATTATCTTTTTTTGTCATAAATTATTTAGATATCCCCTAAGGATTTGAATGTAGAAATTAAGGTTGTATCCGATTACTTTATATAAATATATGTAGAATATGATCTAAGATAACTTCTAACAGAATTTAGTATAAGTGGAAGACGTGCAACTGACTTAAGCTATATAAATATGGATTGTCAGATGTTCAAAATATTTTTATTCATGGATTCTTGGAGATGTTTTTTTTTTTAAGGAATACATAAACAAGGTTGTTTTTGCTATTTGGACTGTGATTATAAGTCAATTTAGTTTGCTCGAACATTCGTACTCATTGGGCTCAATGGTCCACTCCAACACCGTTCATAAAGTCGCATCTTCCTTGAATGGTGCGTCTCGATCCATTCCCAAAACCCAACTCTAATGTATATGTTGGAATGCAAAATTGGTTGCCTTTGTTGACAAATCTTGATAACTCCAACTCCTTCAATACCCTTTTGAATATCCAACTCAACTTTCATCCACAAAGGCCTCAATCTCAATTTGTAGCCATATAATATTCAATATTCAATACACAAATTAACTTCATAATATCTATAAATTAAAATCACAACCATCCATTCCATTAGTATATTTCTAGTTCCATATCATCATCGTCGTCAACCAGCCCTCCCCAAGTTTACAAAAAGCTTTACGTATATTATATATTTGGAGTATTTGAAGCTATTGGGTTATCTATACCTAAAAAATCTCGTATTTTCCAATGACCCTTTTCAATTTTGTGGCTGCCTTTTCAGGTGTGTCATTATTCGGCCAAGTCGTGAAGCAATTGAGCACCCATCAAGTTTCTGTAAGGAAGATTCTGAGTTTCTCCGTCTAAAAGTGAATATTGAATGGGTTCACACTCTTCCATTTCATCTCTTCTGAAGAAAACCGAGGTTTGTGTTGCATGTTGTTGTAACCCTAATGTCAACGACACACCACCTCTGCCACCGCTACTGGAGTGGTGGTTGTTGTACGATGAGAAGTCAAGCTCCACTGTGCCAAATGCATCCGCGCCAACTCGCCCAAAACTCTGGTTTTCCATTGCTTTCGTGCTTCTTGAACCATTCTTTTCTGAGTTGTTAGAGATGATTGAAGACATACATTCCGACTCAATTCTCAAGAGTTGGTCTGGCGTCGGCTTTTGATCCACCAACCGTGTCGGGATCGACCGATGACCATCGATTTCGTCGTCGAAATCCGCCACCCCATCGGAAGAATGCCCATTAAAATTGTTGTTGATTTCTTCTCCTTGCTCCTTGGTTTCTTCTAAATACATCTCTTCCACCATTGGCTTCCACAACCTCACCCTCGCATTAATGAACCAATTCGACACCTAACCAAAACAACAAAACTTACAACATAACAACATAACAACAAACACAAACAGCCCTACAATCAAACATCTTTAAACTCATCAAAAAAAAAAAAAAAAAAAAAAGGATCCAATTATTACCCATTTCATGAAAATCCATCAATCATTAACAAGAACAAAGTGGGGTTTGGTTATATTATAATAAAACAATGGATTTTGTAAGAAGATATGAACTTCAATAAAATAAGAAGGTGGTTGAACGGAATATGATGAAGTAGGGTTTTTTGTAATGTGTTTTTTGGACTTGCCTGGCTTCTTGAGAGACCAGTTTGGCGAGCTAAAATATGTTTATCCACATCGCTAGGGTACCTGCAAATGATTCAACAAAAAAAATAAGAACCCCACAAGAATTGACAGAGAAAAATGAATTAAATGATTGAAAGCAACAAGAACAACAAATGGGTTTCGAGTTATGTGTGTAATTTGGCAGAAAAATGAATGATTTGAGGGTTTACGGGTGAAGAAAGTGTTCGAAAAGCCAAGCGCGAAGAACAGAAACAGAACGCTCAGGGAGGCCACGTTGAGGGCGCCATGGATGGCTCTCCATCATGCTTATTTGATGGAAAGCTCTTTGTTGCCTTAAAGCTTGATCGATGACTTTAAGCCTTGGCGTTTCTCCTCTTGTGGTGCCTGGAGTAATTGGATCCTTTTCTTCTATTGCCTTTTTTGTGGCCTGAATTTGTCCCACAATCCCATCTTTTAGGCACCTAAAATGCCTCGACATCGCCTTCGAAGCCAACGCTGAGTATACCCTCGCCGCCCCACTCCCTGCCACAGCCTCGAATGATGCTACCACCGCCTTCATTTGCTCGCAGTAATGCCTATACCTTCTTTCAACCTACAAAGATCAAATTTTTTTAGCGATTACTCTGAATCACTCCAATTCCTTAAAGGGTTATGTTCTTTTACCTCTTCAAGCATGGAAAAAAGCTTGGTTTTTCTCCTTTGCAAGTCCATGAAATCAAGTGATTGGAGAGAAATCTTGGTAGAAGAAGACCCATCTTCCATTTCCCATTGTTTTGGCTTATTCCCTTTGTGTTTTGGTGAGGAAGAGAAATCAAGGCCTTGTTTGTTGTTGTTGTTGTTAATGGTGATTCCAAGGCTACAAAACTCATAAAGAAGGTCCTGAGCTGGGGCCAGAAACCTGGAGTTTCGAAGCTGAAAAATGGGGAGAGATGATGATTGGTGTTGATTTTGTTGGGGTCTGAGTTCAAAAGATTGTAAGCCAATAGAAGAAGGATTAGAGGAACTAAGAGACAAAGAAAGGCCTTGGCTTGGCCTCTCATTGGGTTCACATGGAAACACACATCTCAAAGCAGAATCATCATCGACTAAATGGAATCTGTTATTGCTGTCTTGCGCTGCTGTCCCCCACGGCCCAACCACCATCATGTTCTGATGAAACTCATCGCCGCCGGTTGACTCGTTAGTCCCCAAATTGAACATCTCCGCCGGATCACCGCCGGATCCAAACCCAGTTTGGATCTGGCTCGTGAATTGGGTTTGGATGTTCAAGTTAGAATTCGAATTGTAGTAAAATCCTCCTCCTCCAACTACCATCTCGTTCGATTTCTCTTCTCCTTCACAAAGCTCTCGAGCCATCAACAACCACAAAATTACAGACTTTAATTCGGAATCCCTTTGTCCGACAGCTTGTTCTTGTTTCAACCTGCAAAAGAAAATATTAAAAACATCCATTTGGGTATAGTAAAGTTTGAATTTTGATTGATTATAGAGTAAAAAGAGACAAACCCAGATGAGATAAGAGAAGGAGGAGCGCGGCGACGGCGACGGCGGAGGAATCTGTTAATGGGTGTTTCTTAGAAGAAATGATGGGTTAAGTATGGAAAAGAGACAGAGAAAGAGGTGATGATGAGGTGGTGGTGGTGGGAGCAATGAATAATCATAATCTCTCTTTTCTGCTCTGAAAGTGTTTCTTCTTTTGCTCTGTGCTTCCCTTCTCTGTTTAATGGGTCAATGGGATAAATCCGTCCAAAAATAGGCGTCCTACCAATAAATAAATAATGGGAACTCAATTATTTTGGTAACAAAAAAAGATTATATATATACTTTTTATGAATAAAATAAAACAAAAAAGAAATGATTAGAAGAAAAAACACAGAGGGAAGTACCACAAGTGTTGAGAAGCAAAGCAACAGAGAGTGTAATGATCATAAAAGTGTACCCAAAGAACAGAATCAACGCAGCCGCCAACATGACTTGTTCTAAACTTTTTTATTTTTTAATTTTTTTGTTTGTTCAATCCAAGAACTGAAAAGGAAATTAAAAAAAAAGTGGGAGTTGTGGGCAGGCTTTTTCAGATGGGTTGCAGTGGAAGAGAAAGAAAGATGCAGAGTTTTGTGGACCTGTTACTTGCTTCACCTTCTTCTTCTTCTTCTACCTGTTCTTCCTGTTCTTGTTCTTTTTTGGGAATGGGAGAGAGAGAGAGGGCGGAGAGATGGGAGAGATTGACAGAGAGATAGAGAAATGTTCCCAAAAACAGGGACTGTGAAGGCGGAGAGGAGTGGAGAGATGAGGTGGTCCAATGTTTTGGCCATCTAATTCTCATTAATTGCTCTATTAAACCCTTCCACCAAATATATCCTAACCCTACGCGCTCTCCTTATCACCCTTCTTCACTACCCATTTCATTCAAATTTTACAAAAAAAAAAAAAAAAAAAAACCCTAGATTTTGTTCCGGCGTTCCGTTCATGGGTTTGAAACATCTTAGCTTGTGTAGCTCGTGTTTCGATTGTATACGTAAAATTATGTTTGTTAAAAAATTGGTAAAACAATGTTCCATTGGTTTGAAATAATTTTAAAAAACAGTGACAACATGTGAGTATAGACAAAATATACTAAAATATTGATAGTATTATTCGACATTGAATATTTTATTTGCTGTTTATTACACCAATTTATGAGCGCAATAAATTGGTGTAGAACAAATGTCTACTGTATCATTATCGAACTATATTATAAATGGTCTCAATGTCACGACATTATGCCTAGCTCTATACATTTAAATATAATAAGAGACTTAAAATAAAACAAATATTTATCACGTAAAAAGTTGAAAGGAAGGTGGTGTACACGCGCGGAGATGGGAGAGTGGAATAGAGAATAAATATTCGCGTGTATAAAAGCAGGTGGTCCTATAAACCAAGCTTTCTCCCTCTTCGCTCTTCCTTTCCCCAAAAGCCCATTACGTCATCACTTCTCTACTAACCTACGCCCCCCTTCCGTCCTGCGTACGTTAGAAACAACCCCAATTTTTTAAGAAAAAATAAATTTAATCTAACCGTCTCTTCTTCTCTGCATTTCCCTTACGTAACTTTCATTTAGATTTTATGGGTCCAAAAAAAAAAAAAATGGTAAAAGAATATTATAAAATAAAATGAATTAAAATTTAGTTTCCAATAATTAGTTAATTTTCTATATAAATATATAAATTTGATTATATATAAATTTATGGGACCATAGACATACCATTAATTCAATATTGACTCCCGCTTCTTACCAATTCCTACAAGGTACGAGATTGATGTAATGTTATTACTCACTGAGCCTTACATTTTTGTTTTATATTTAAAGATATTTAGTAATCGATTCTTTACCTTTAATTAAAACAAAAACATTAATGAAACTTCTAAACTATATAATTAATCTATGTTTAAGTATAAGTAGACAAAACTATAGCTTAAAATATATATATATATAATGTAGTGAATGAGGGAGGAGAGGGTAGAATCCTGTACAGCCAGAAACAAAAGAAAAAAGTGAACAGCTTTTTGCAGAAATCCAATATTTATTATTTTCTATTTTTAAAAACAAAAAAAAAATAAAAAAATAAAACTGTTGGATTATTATTTTTGGAATTTCCATGGACCATTCTACTTGACCCTACTACCATCCAACCCCTGCCAGCTTTACCCATAGTCCACCATTTCCATGGACCATTTTTTTTTTTTTTTCTGACCAGGAGGTTCAGTTTTGGACCATTCCATTTCCTCCCATTAATTCAAATCTTCAGAAATTATTCCATTTAATAAATATCTTAGATTAAAATACTTAATACTATATTTATATTTAAATAAATTAACCATTATATCATTTAATTGTTTAATTAATGTCTTATTCAATGCTCTTACGTTAACAACAAAAGAGTCGAGTCATTATATATAATCATCGCCATTAAGCTATATTAATCACTAACCTAATCATTGTTTTTTGCTAAGTCACTTAAATGTCTTAATCCGTTTATTTTAATATTACTTTAGAATTAATTAATTACTAATACCAACATTTTATTTTTTAATTATTTATATTTTTTAATTAGAAGAACTATATGATTAGGCGTAAATGCTAAATTGTGTAAATATATATATAATTAAATGGAAAAATGAAGATAACATATAATTTGATGGTTTAAGGTTATGATGATAGAGGGATTAATTGAGGTTTGAATCTTATTCTCATTTTGCCACGTCATTGCATTTTGTAATGTGGGCCACTCATACCATGACACGCGTTCTTTTTATTTGCCACTTCTGCTGAAGTGGCCCCCACGTCATCCTCTAAAATCAACGCCCTCAACTCGCCGGAAGACTCCCGTTTCTGTGTTTCCACTTTTTTAGATATGATCCAACGTTTCCCATTATTTATTTTTATTTTCCATCCAAATAAAAAATGAAAATTAGTTTTAAAATAAATTTAGAGGCTATTAAATGATAGAATTTAAATGCAAATAAAAATATAATCATAAAATAAAAAGGAAAAAAAGGAGATTTATTTCTTAATAATAAAAGGCGATAATTTTGAGTTATGGAATAAATATTAGAATACTCAATTATATTTATATAAATGAGAAATATTAGTAAGAAAAATAATAAAATAAAGAAAAGAAAAAAGAAGCACCTTAGCCTCCCCGTAAGGTGACTCACCGACACTACAAAAGTCAAAGCAAACGACAAAAAACCAACAAAAACAAAACATTTCCTTTGAGAAAAGCAATGCTTTCTAATGTGCTACATGGATTTAATTATTCTTTACACAATTATGACAAGAATCATAAATTAAATTAAAAATATATTTCTCAAAATTGTACTTGTTTACTCGCGATTTTCTTTATTATATAGTCTCCTCTGAATAATTTAATAAAAACTAAAAAAAATAAAAAAATATTTTTTCCCGTATTAATATTCCAATCAAACTATAGGTATATATTTGAGATGGATTATATTTTCAAACAATTAAAATCAGTTTTGTCGTTAAGCCAATTAAATTTAATTAACTTATGTTGGTTTTGGTTCGGCCACGTGGTCTAATCCATTAAGGTATCTGTCCTCGTTTCATCCACTTATGAATTTAGGGTAAGAAGATATTTTAACCAGAGAAAGATATTTTTTAATTATCAAAAAGAAAAGGAAAAAGAAAAAAGAAAAGGAGAGGAAAACAATGGCCACTCTTATCGCGGGACTATCCCCATCTTCCTCCAAATTCCATGTCTTCAACTCCAACATTTCAATCCGCTGTTGCGGCGACCAGAGCGCCGGAGAAACAGACTCTACTAACGCCAACACCAACACCAATGGCTACTCTTTCCCGAACCCTAACGTAATCCGGCCGCCGAGGCCGCGGCGGATAATACTGGTGCGGCACGGGGAGAGCGAGGGGAATGTGGACGAGAGCGCCTACACTAGAATCGCGGATCCTAGAATCAGTCTGACACAGAGGGGAATCAGGGAGGCGGAGGAATGCGGGAGGGATATGAGGAGTATGATCGAGGGGGATGGAGTCGAGGATTGGAGTGTTTACTTCTACGTTTCGCCTTACAAAAGGACTCGCCAGACTCTGCAGCACTTGGCTACCTCCTTTGATCCTCCTCGAATTTCTGGTTTGAGAGAAGAACCCAGATTGCGCGAGCAGGATTTTGGTACCTTCCCTTTTTCTGTTCTTTCTCTTTCAACTTTAATTTCATCACAACTTTGAAACACAAATTCGTGTTTATACTCCGAAATCAAAGGAAACTTTCAAGACAGAGAGCGAATGAGAGTTGAGAAAGCGATGAGAGTGCTATACGGTCGATTTTTCTACCGTTTTCCAAATGGAGAATCGGCTGCGGATGTTTATGACAGAATCACTGGTACAAACCCCTAAACCAAGAATATCTAAGTTCTTCAACAATTTCTTTTTCTGTACTGAAACAAAACAAACAGGTTTCAGAGAGACATTAAAATCAGACATTGATGTGGGAAGGTTTCAGCCGCCAGGGCAGAGAAACCCCAACATGAACTTGGTTCTTGTCTCCCATGGCCTCACTCTCAGAGTCTTTCTCATGAGATGGTACAAATGGACTGTGGATCAATACGAAAGACTCAACAATTTGGGCAATGGTAAAATGATTGTCATGGAGAAAGGCTTTGGCGGAAGGTATGACATACTTTTCATCGACAACAACGATCACAATTACGATTCGAACCCGTTCCTCTTTGTAGGTACACTTTGCTGCAACACCACACAGAGAACGAGCTGAGACAATTTGGGCTCACAGATGAGATGTTGATTGACCAAGAATGGTAAGTAAGCTCTTCTTCTCTTCCATTTGCTCTTGTTTGTGGTCTTTCTTCTGCTTTTTTGAGTTGCAGAGTGTTGCGTTTCAGGCAAAAACATGCACAAATTGGAGAGTTGAACTATGATTGTGCAATGATGAATTCCTTTTTCACACATTTTGATGATGAATGCAATGTTACCTAAGAGTATCTGTTTCTGAATCAGCTTTGTACAGTTAACAATCTATATATATATATATAGCAGAAGTAACACAAACCCACTTTTATCAGTTGGGTTTTCATTTTGTTTATATGAACAAATCTTGTTCTTAGTTTGGGATTCATTCCTCATTGCATAAACAAATCTCTCTCACAAAGCAAGAAAACTTACAAGTAACTATTCGTCCCTACAAAACTAACTCAGCCACAGTTCATTTTGATAGCATCCATTCAGTTTCATTGCCGATATGTTCTTGCAACTTGTCATACAAATGCAATGAAGCAAAGAACAATGACAGGTCAATTGTGATCAAATATTTGCTCATTGGTTCTAAACATACCAGTTTCAGTAGTAACCTCTGTACACCCATCTTGGACATTGCCTGATATCATCGATAGCGTCTGTTTCGATACGTCGCTGCTGCAAAAGTAAGGCTTTCATTGAGATAATGCAGCAACCTAAACAAAACATTTGATCAACAAGGCATTTAGATCCGTGATTATTGCCTAATTAAAGAGATTGTTGATATGGAGTCAACTCAAGGGCTCTAATAAAGTCAAACCAATAATAAAACACATCAATCTTCATACATTGGACCTGATCATTGATAGATAAACAAGAGCTTTTCAACAGTAAATCAATGACTTTTCAGGCATAGCTTCTGAATCTCTGGATACTATTCTAAAACTCACAGATTTCTTATGAACAATGACGCTCCATGGGCTCGATAAAGGGTAAATGAACTCGGAACAATCAGATACAGAGACGAGTTGTATCGATGAAATCAACGTCAAGCTCGAGAAAAAAACGTATAGATACGAGGAATTACAATATGTAGCATATATTATCTTCTTCCAACCTAATATCAGGTACATTCATTCAATCCTCCATAAAATGTTCCTGGTTTAGGAAGGAAGAAGATTTTAGCTAGGCCTCAAGTGATCAGAGAGAGAGCAAACCGATTAGTTGTTCATGAATTCTCTGACGTTGGGGTGGCAATTCGTATCGGTCGAGGGCGCTCCTGTTCACCGTTACGTCTCCAAAATGCCCTTCTCCACCAAACTTCGAACCCGCGTTGTATATTCGGGCAATCTTCACCTGAATTCATGAATCGATTGAACCAAGCTAGTAATATGTCTTGTTGCCAAGCTAAAGGTAGAGTGAGAATTGTATTGCTAAGGCCATCCTCGATCAAGTGGCGATCGAGGCCTCTCGACGCTCTCCTCATCCAACCAAAATCGTCATAGAATGGCACCAACCATGTTTGCAAAAGCTGATATCTCACATCTTTAGGAGCCAGAAGTTGACCTTTGCCAATGCCAACGAATAACCGAGCAGTTACTCGGCTGATTTCGAACCTGTGGACAGCAGGCACCTTAGAGTGTGCAGCTGCCAATTCAGATTGAGAAGCCCAGATTTTCAAAAAATCTTCAGCTATCTGTCTATCGATCAAGATATCTAAAATCCAGTGCAGATTATCAGCCTGCTTGGCAATCTCCCCAACACCCTGAAACTCCCCTACCGCTCTCATAAAGTGATGGCGAAGCAACTGCAGGCAACCATCACAAGCCGAATACAAGGATTCTTTTCTAAGGTCATTCTGCGACGAACTCTCACGAAGCATCTTCGAGACTAATCCTTTCATCTCGCGCCTAGCCTTCTCGTCTTTTCCTTCCAGAACGACATGTAGAAGCTTTAGCAGCACTTCTTCATTGTCATTACCATCTTCAGGTCCATTAGTAACTTCAATTGAGACCCTCTTAAGAACTTCCCCTGCTGCAACACCTTCAAGGTGAAGCTCAGATAAGAGTGATGCCACTTTCTCTTCTTCGTCCTCAGCCCATGGAGCTGCTTCCAAGTACTCCAAACACGACAAGACGCCTGCATCGAACCCGATGGCAGCTGAAACCTAAAATGGCAAAGCGAGGATAGCCAATTATTATACATTGCAAATTGGTTGGGAATCTATCAAATCAGAGATTCAGCAATGATACAACAAATGCACATTGATGTAACTTTCTACAAATTCTGAAAGTCTCATACCTTTAAAACTCCAAGAACTCTGGGAACATCTTCCTTCATCAGCTTCTTCCTCAGATCTCTACAATACATCAGTTTCAAGGTTTCAATATACACTTCAACATCGTCACAGTCAGCAATCTCCACAATGTATGGCGACGGCGACCTCTGTTGTTTCGCCCACCGTTCCGAGAGCTTCAAAGCGAAAAACCGACTATGAGCGACAAGAATTTGCCGGTGAACGTTCATCGAAACACTAATCCCATCTCTAGAGCTCAATGTGAGCTTGATATCACTGCTAGAGGCGTCATTGAACTGATTTCCAGGGCTCCGAGATCCCAAAATTTCAGAAATCCTCTGCATCATCACGGCCTGCTTGTCCTGAATAGGAATTTGGTTCTTATGAACCGAAACGGGTGCACTATGAGAAGGGATCTGAGAAGTTCTAGGGTGAATATCAGGCTCGCTCGCCATCATTTCAAAAAGGGTCGGACTCGATCGGGTTTTATCAGTCGATGGCGGCGGCGACATTGGATTCAATAGCCCAGCGGTGAGAGCAGAGTTGAACTTCGAGAAGCTCGAAGGGAAAGAGTCGTGGTTCGATCCAGAGTGGCCATTAAACCCCGCCGCTACCGCGGCGTTGGCGGAAGAAGACGTAGTGAAGTCCATAACCGGCGAAAAACTACCCGGAGAAAACCGTATGCGAAAAGTAGACGGCGAATCGGACGGAGAGATAACCGAATCCGATGCTCGATTCCCGTTAGTGGGTGTCGGAGAAACAACCCCCCGACGAGATTTCGAGGGGGGAAACGGCGGCGGCGGCGGAGGAGTAGGAAGAACCGAAGGGGTTACAGAGGGTTTTGTAGCGGGACAACACCAGGAATTCTCCGAAGAAACAATCACAGGAGGATGATCAAGCTTTCGATTGGAAAAAACGTGAGACCCAGAAGAGGAATTAGAAGAAGTAGAGGAAAACGAGTCGGATTTAGCCGAAACAGTGATATCCCGGCACTTCCGTCGCTTAAGCTTAGTGGGTTTGTTGTGAGAAGAAGAAGAAGAGAGGGAATTAGTAGAAGTAGCGTTGGTGGTAGTTGTGGTTGTGGATGTGGGCAGAGCCATTGATAAGTACACCCGTTGGTTTATGCAAACGCTAAGAGGAAAATTGTCCTTTAGCTTAGCTCAAAACCATTGGCATCAACGAATTAATAAAGAGCCATTGCAGGTTTTCACGTTAACAAAGAGGGAAAGTGGAAATTAAAACCAAACCCCTCCATTAAAAATGGCGGTGCAAACGAGACAGATAAGAAAAGGACAGAAGAACACAGCGAAGAGAGAGGTGAGAGAGAAAAAGCATTAAATAGAAGTATAAGGGGAAAATCAGGAATTAAAGAAGACGACCGCCATGGCTGAGCGGATTAGTGTTGAAAACTCGATAGTGTTTTTTGAAATAATTGAGAGGGAATGAAATTAAATTTGTTTGATTTCATGGGATTGAAACGTAGAATGAAATTAATTTGGATGGCGGAGTTTGTTCTAAGTTAAGGGAGATTTGAATAATCATAAGAACTTGTCAATCAAGAACCAGAACCAAAACCAACAACAACAATCAAAGATTTTGATGTTTCCTTGGTCATGTCGTGTCGTTTTAATCCAAGGTTGTTGGAATTTGGAATTTGGAATTTGGAAATGGAAACAAAAACACACCAAAATTCTATTGTTCTTATCCTCTTGAATTTCAACAACACCATTTCCTTGATGATAACTTTGGAACACAATTAAAAATTTAAAAACAATTGTTCTGTTTTTTTTTTTTTTTTTTTTA